TAAACATTGTTTCGCCGATTTCAAGAGAAGAATGCCTGCAATCATCTTCCACTTCGAGTGATTACACTCTTTTGAAATCTAGGAATATATCTCTAAAAAAAGTAGGGGTTTTATCAGTCTGTGCAAATAAACACACTAATAAACGTACAAATGGAGTCTATAAAACATGATCGGTTTTCCCCAGTGTTTGCCCTTTCCAGATATAAAATTAGGTGCTTAAAGAACAACATTAAAACTTTGCAGCTGTTCAGGTACCACCAGTCTGAGCCTCAGTGAGATGCTAACTAGATTTTCACGGCCCAGTGGGGCTGGGCTGCCCTAAGCACCAAATCTGCTACCAGGGAGTACCACCACTTAACGGGGAGCATCTGATCCAGTATTAATATATGTAAAACGGAACAATCATGGAAAGATGCAGTTTTCAATTAGTTGTTTTAATTTGTGATTTACTTAAATATATTGGTATGAATAAAATGCATTTATGTGTGCATATCTATGTGGGTAAGCTATTTACAGTTATGTTATGTATACATTTTTATGTGTAGAAAATGCAAATACACGTTGATTAGCCCTTGTGAGGCTTTTGAACGACTGTTTCTTCTTTCTGCTTTCCTGCCACTGCTTTGAGGATTTAGATAATTCATACAAGGTATGTACACAATCACACCCATAGTATGTACATCCTAGTCACACACTTAACACAGAGAGGATGTGTGAGGAATGTAAATCATCCCGGTGGTCAAAGAACTGACCTTACCTGTGACTAATGGTGTGGGTAATTAGCCCTGGCACATTTAGTAACATGCCAATGTCCTGATTACTATGTTCAGCCTTTATGACAATATGTTATCTACTCTGGGAGATGATTAAAAACAAAAAATAACAGCCCTTTCTGACCTTCAAAAATGAAAGGACAAATTCTGGTCCTGAATACACATGCAGACTTTTGTTGGCTTTATTCACTTTCGCACATGTGCCTACCTGATGACAGAACTTGCCCTGAAAATGGGATCAGCATGTTATTTTTTTCTACACATAAAAATAGAAAACCAACCACTCACAGACTGTACACACTTACAGAACGTATTGACATACCACAACCTGCTACAGTATTTGCACAACATATTGTTCACACATTTGTACAGCAGAGATACATACATTTAGAAATTTAGTAAGTGTTAGTTCATTTCTTTCTTGAGTTGTCAGGCCCTGTTGACCTGTCTTAACTTCAGTAAAAGGCATCTCCCGATACCCCTAAAACAAGAATTCGTCTCTCCTCTCCCCTAAGGATTGAGGAGTACGACTATAATACTGCAACTCCTGATCCACCAACATCATTTTAAGACATGATGGAGAAGATTATGGAAAGTAATTTACTCAAAGATGTGGTTAAAATAAATGCTAAGGAATCTAAACTGAAATCATTAAGAGATGCCGATAAACGTGGGTAAGCCCATTCTGCTCATTCAGTAATTGGCACTATATATAGCCTTTACATGATATTAAAAGCAATAATACAAATCAGAAAAAAAATTGGTTAGCTGCCTGAAAGTTTTGCTGAAGAACAGACAATTTAATTTTTAAAGTAACAAAGAGTACTGCTAGCAGCAATGTCAAAAAGCAAGCTATAATTTTAACCCCAGAAATAAGTGGATGACATCCCCATATCTCAAGAGATCAAGAAAGAAGTTAGCATTTCTCTCCCATTTAATTCTCCTTAACACACTTAAATCACTAGGGTGTCTCTCATCATAATTATCACCATGCTGGCTGATCATCAGTATCTTTTTCTGAAGTGTAAAATATGTGATTTTTATTCCTACTGTTTGGCAGCCAATCGATTTTGAACCCAAAGAAACTTGATGAAGCAGTAGTACTTAGAAACGCCCATCTGGAGCATCATTTTCTGTAAGGCATTATTGGAGGCCCCTTTTGATGTGAGTACTCACGTTTTAGCTATTTTTCATTTGAGAACCCCTTTTTCATAGGTAAGGCTGGTAATCCTCCAGGCAGAGTTAACTGAATCGCTCTTCTACATGCTAGCGTCCAGAAGAAGGATTACCACATAGTTAGCCCCTCCATTTCAGCAAAGTTTCCGATTGGAACTGTCTTGAGTTTTAAGCTGGCGAGACTTTAGGTGACTCCGTTTCTGTTTTGGCTAGCTTAAAACAGAGATGTGAACCACATCCCAACAACGCTCTCTAGGGCTGCACCTCTTTATGGAGCTCCTAAACACGTTTTTCCAGCAAGAAAGGAGAAAGAATGCCTTTGCTTATTTCTCCTGTGGGTTACAGTCAGTCCTCACAGAGCAAGCCGTAATATATAATGGCATGCCCATAACACATGCACTTGCTGGTATAACTGCCTCTTGTTGGCACATTATTGCTTGTCTTAATTTCATAGTCAACAGTCTTTATTCTCATGATTAGTATCTGAGATATCTGGGTCTTAAAAAAACCCACCAAACTTGTAAATGACATCTTGTTGCACCACTCTGGCCTCCACTGTCATTTCACCAAGGCCCACGGTTATTTAAATGTCCTTTATAATTATCATCACTTTGATAAACCTAAGAGCCAACAGTAATTTTTCAGGACTTTTTGTTGTTTCTATCTACTCGTATATACAGACGTATTGGATCTACTTTGAGAGAGGTTATTTCGTTGTGGCAAGTGAGTAGTTTAGCTGGTGTGTTCACAGTTAAAAGTAGCGGTAATGACCTCTGGCAGATGTCACTGATTACTTGTGAGACAGAATTTTTCCACCTCAATCGATCATCATTTATGTCCTTGCTCATTGCAAATCAAGTTTATTTGATTTTTGTAGCCAAGGAGAATTTTTTTTCCCCGAGGGTGGGATAAAGTTCATGGAAATCTGTTTCCTATTTACAAGACTAGTTTTTCCCCTTTTGCAAAAATGTCTGAAATTTTGTAGACATCCTTAAGCCCGTGTGTCTGCACAGATTAATTTATAATTACTCAGCCAGTTGCAGAATTTCATTAAGAAGGATACAGTTACAAGGATGGACAGGAGGGTCAGCACATCACCTGTTATTTGCCAGGTGGCAGCAGCTGCCCCACACACGGATTCAACCAAAAGGGCCACATATGGCATCGAGGAATGTTGCTAACAGCAAACAAAATGCCCAGATCTGAATATAAAATAGCAAACACTGAGGCAGACGTGGACAAGACTTCCAATTCACTGTGTCGACAAAACAGGGGGAGGGATAAGATGGTGAGCTCACTTAGCCAAGATACTGCTGAGTTCACTGTATTATCACCACAAAGGGAAATTCGCAGGCCTCATTTCTCAGACACCACTTAGGACAAAGCAGGAGAGAGTAAACAGCGTCATCTCCACGGCAGCACTGTAGATGATGGGAGAATCAGACAGGCAGAGGCCTACACAAGGCTACAAGGGCCCGAATTCAGTAAAAACACATAGACATATACGCAAACCTTATCCTAAAGTATTGTTTTTCTTTATACTGATTCTGAAAAAGTAGATATGGGGGGTGGTGAATTATATGGTACTAGAAGTGCACAAAATTTTTAACACTTACACAGTATGTAGGAGGGAGAGAAGATAATTTCTTACATTTTGGCAGCAAAACATTAACAGAGTGGATACAGCAAAGGGCAAACAATTTACATTGACAGCATGTTCATATATATCCTCTACAAACAAATTTTAAGTCACATCATACGCTATTCTTCATGTGGTATTTACAGGTATTCCCAGAATTTTAGGAACTCCCAGAAATGAGAGGGATAACATTAGAATAAGCTAGGAACACTAAAATCTCAATACTCTGAGACGCAACCGAAAGCATTTCCTCTTCTGCTTTGTACTTTAAGACAGCAAGCTCCTATTAAGGACTTGGTTCCCAAACTCAGCCTCTAGGGAATATGTTACACCTGCATATTTAGTAAAATTTATTTCAGTTTTTATATTTAACCCACAACATGGAGAACACTGGTATCCAAAATAACGAATATCGGACAATTCTAAAGATTAAAAAATCATCAAAAATCAAATTATATTCAATACAGCTGAACTTGACAAGGTAGGAAAACATACGAATGTATTTTATCAATATTTCATTTTGAATGCAAACAAAAAGGGTTCTGGTTAACTTTGACCTAACAAAATGTTCAACTTATGCCACTGATCCGAAACACAAAGGTTAATTAGGATTTTACTGGACGTACAGTAGTTGGTGTGTGGCATCAAAGCCAGCAATCCAGGAAGACATAATTAGAAAAGCACTAAAAATAAACATGTGACAGCTGAAGCGATGACATTTTTCTTGCGGTCATAAAAATAGCAAAATCAATATTTAAATTAAAAATTCTAGTATTCACTGGGTAAGTTGTATAGCATCTTAGCATTTTAAATGTTTCATTGTCTTCCAGAAACTGTTCTAACTCATCTGTCTTTTACTACTGGTTTAAGAAAGAAAAACAAACGGCTTTCAACCCCATGTGTGCCATGCAGCTAGGGAACAGCAGAGCAAGTTCAAAGAGGCTGCCATGCTGTGAACAAAGCTTTGCACCTTCATTTGTTGAATGAACCTAAAGACTCACAAATGATGTACCGAAGGTCTATGCTGCGTCACACGTCCAAGTGAAGGAAAATTTTCAAATAAAAGTTTTACTGTGAGGGGCTGGCCCCGTGGCCGAGCGGTTAAGTTCGCGCGCTCCGCTGCAGGCGGCCCAGTGTTTCGTCGGTTCAAATCCTGGGTGCGGACATGGCACCGCTCATCAGACCACGCTGAGGCAGCGTCCCACATGCCACAACTAGAAGGACCCACAATGAAGAATATACAACTATGTACTGGGGGGCTTTGGGGAGAAAAAGGAAAAAATAAAATCTTTAAAAAAAAAAAAAGTTTTACTGTGAGAACATCTAGGCTATCACAATGCAAAAACACTGCTGTCTTGAATAGGCTCCTATCTTATTTATCCATTTGATAATCTATTTCTGCTACTGTTTTTAAAAGCTGTTCTTTTTAGGAGATTCAATAGCAACAAGAAAGCTTTTGTAATATTTTGTGACAATCTTTAGAGTGTGGTAGAAGTAAAGACTAAAGGTAAAAAATAAAGATTAAGAAGTAAAGGTTAGTTCCAGCACCAAAGAAAACCAGTTAGAGTTACTACATCAAACAGTAAGTTTCAATTTGAGAGGCACAACGACAACACCAAATTTAGTTTAAATTAAATTAACTAATTAAGTTAATATTTGACAAATGCCTACAACTCTCTTAGGCCTCTGCTTCACTGAACTATTTATAAATCATGTGATTACTCCAAACTCATGAAAATAAATATTATTACCAGATGCTGAATTCTTCCTTTTCTCCTCTTTTAATGCAGGAACAGCCTGTGCTAGCCACTTCCCAGCAGAGGACAACCTGGGGCCCACCCATCTGGAGTGGGTACTGTTGACAGCTGCTACTGTGTACACAGGGTGTTCTCTGTGTATGCACGGCACGTATGCCAACGGGTAAGGGAAGTAGGCAGTGAGCGAGAGATGGCAAAGGCATCTCCCACAGACGCGCCACGAACACCAACAATACAAATGGGTATTTAAGGCCAAAAGAGAGAGTTTTAGACTAGATCTCTAATCATTAATAGTCATCTGATTGCTAATTAGATGATAATTTCTACTTTAGACAGCATTCTTAATAGAGGCCAATTGATAAAAAACTGAAAAATGTGCCTAATTAAAAAATTCACTATAAGTTCCAAGTATAACAACTGTAATTACGTTGTCAGGCTCTGAGAATGCTGTGACCAGGGTCTACGTATGCAGGCTTCATGTACAGTCCAATTGCTTTGAAAGACATCAATGGCTATTAACTAATGTAGGTTGTGTTCAGTGTAGCTTGTGGTGTTGAAGTTCAGGTATGATTTTCCCTCATATGTTCAGAGTCTGCAAAAGAGAATTAAAATGAAAAAAAAAAAAAAAAAAAGCCAAAGCAGAGATTGGGAATTTACAGCACAAATGGCATTTATGAGTCTCTGGAGAGAGAATAGATGGCCGGACACTCTCTTCTGGCTCATCGAGGGGAATGAGTCCAGAGAAGGCAACCAGCACCCCTCCAACGTCCAACGGTCTGATTTTCTAAATACAAGGTGGAGACCAGCGCTCTCCTTTGGTGACTCCAGGAGGGGAGGCGCTCCCGGGCCCTGGCTCACGCTCCTCTTCACAGTACCCAACCCTCAAGCCACTGCTGGTCATCCCAGCTGGTGCCCTGCAAGACACTCGCAGGTCCCAGGGACATGCTCCTCTTGCAGAGACAGGTGAGGGCTCTCAAGGGCCATAGGTCACCCAAAGCTCAAACTGTGCTCTAGGAAAGGCCTCTCCTTTTATTGGGATCAGAGGATGAGATCCGATGGTATTTCTCTTAAAATCAATAAGGCTGCAGAGGTTACCTTTTTACCACAGATTAGAAACTTAAGCAATCAGGGGGCCCCAGTCTACACACAAAAACTGTGAGAAAGCTCATGTCCTACTTGGTGCTGACTTCATTTTCTATTAGAAGCTACTGAACCAAAGCAAGAGAAAAACTACATCCTGTTTACAAGTCTAAATTAAACATACTGTTTTTGTTACTCAGGATGCTTTCGTTTTTTCAACACAGAAAAAAGAGTGTTTGGTAATTGGCTATTTATGATTCCTCACCAGAACCTTAACATTCTCAGTAGAATGTCAGTGGAGAACACCTCCGTAAAAATTTAGCATTATCAATAATTCGATGATCTCTTCAAGAATTCAGTGGCCTGTCCTTCCTCTCGGGTAAGGAAATATGGATTTAATCTGGTCATAATCACAGAGATGCACCTCGCCTTCAGTGCAGGAAAACCTATATAAATAAATTCATGTTTTATGTGGGCAGTCAAAAGCTTAGCTAATTTTCCTAATATAACTTTCTTACATTTATTAACAGGTATAACAACGTTTATAAAAAGGGTTCTCTACAGATGTTTACAAATATTAATTCATATTTGCTATTTTATGCATTTAAATGCTTTTACTGAATATCATCTGAGTCAGATTTGTTTCAACTTTTTACATTATAGTTCTTATCATCTACTTAAATTTTATGTGGTAACAGCATTCTTATTGCAACAGGACTAGAAAGTATAACAGTGTTTTTGCTAATAGTGTTATTACTATTTTTAATATAAAGCAGGGACCTTAATGGAAACACCACAGTGTGATAAATTGAGGCAGTAATACAAAATGACACATGTATAACGATTATGATAGTTTTACAAGCCACACCATATTAAAAAACCCAGTGAATATTGTTTCCTCTTAATTAAGGTCATAAACCCTCAGTGAAACTTGCTTCTCTTCTCTAGTTCTTTCTAATTGAAATGATATTTTTATTTATGGAGGCCCAATCAAGGGACCCCATAGTTCTCAATAGCAATTTCCTATAGTTAATACTTGCTTTCTCTTCCTGGTCTCAGAAAAAAACCTACCTAAGCTTTGACAGAGACCAACACCCACGAAGACCGAAAATGCATACAAGGGCTCCACACACGTTCTTTTCAATCTAACACAGAAGAAGGGGCGGGACGAACACAGCAGTTGGGGCGACGGAAGTTCTGCAGCATGGACTGGAAAACGCTGTGCTGCCTTCCTTTGAGCTTTTTATTTGAAGAAGCATCTGAGGAAATGGATCTCCGGGTCTGGCTGTTTTGAGCTTTGACTAATTTCTCGTGTTCTCTGATTTGTCTTTGTAAATGGTTCTGGATGGCGATCCCCAGGGACTCGGGGTCCAGCGAGGCGCCGTACACTTCCCAGGTCATGCCCTGCTCATCCCACACGACGTCCCTGACACGCTTGGACTGCTTCAGCTGGAGCTTGGCGTCGGCACCGAGCTGCTTTTTCTTCTCCCCGGGCGTGAGTCCCACCTGAGCCGCAGCCGCGGTCACGTTGAGCTTCTGCTCCTTGAGGAACTCGCTGACCCGGCTGCCGCGGCGCGGGCTGGCTTTGACCGAGCGAGAAGGGGTCTTCTTGCCAGAACTTGGACTGGAGTCGCCCAGGGAATCAGACGGCAGGCTCAGGCTGGCGGTTGTCTTGGTCTGTCTGCTTTCTTCCACGGCGCCCTCCTGGTTCCTTCTAACTGGGGATGGGGTGGGGCTGGCAGCTGATCCCGTGCCTCCACTTTCTTGAGATCTAGGGTTGAGCAGTAGGGTTTTGCCCTCTGCCTTTGCTCTTGCATCGAGGACATCGGTGCCGCTAGATTCTTGTTCTTTTACTATCTGAGGGGACGCAGGCTTCTTTTCTCTCGCATCTCCTTTATTATTGGGATCCAAGCTCCCAGACGGGTCAGCTTTGCTGGCAGGGCCACAAGAGCCGGCGAATTTGCAATCTGGGTCTGTTTTGTGGTCATTTGTGGTTTTCACTGCAAACTCGGACGACTTGGTTTCAGGTTTCCCTAAGCCACGACTCGTTTCAGCTTGATTGTCCCCACTGAGAGAAATCTGGTCCGTGGGGCTAGCTTTCAGGGAGCTAGAATTAGTTCCCGAAAGCTGTTTAGAGGTGGGCTCTTCCCTCACTGGGGTCACTCCTGCTGACCTCCCATCTTCTTTACCCGTATCCTGGGCCTTACTGGATGCCACAAGGGTGGATGAGGTTTTAAGGACCTCAGCCGATGGGCTCACTGATTGACTTTCTCCTTGGAAAGCTGTGGAAACAGCCGCAGCAGCCTGGATGCGCACCTCTGGCATCATGCTGGGGCACTGACCCGACTCCTCGGGGGCTACGGTGTTGTCAGATAGCTCCAACGTGTGGCTCCCGCTGCCGCGGCCGTGGCAAATGACACGCAGCTGCTCTTGCTGTTCGAAACGCTCAGGAGCGGGCGTTTCCTTCAGGAGTGCAGTGAGGATGCTGGGGCTGGTGGAGACCGACCTGCTCTCGACACTCGCCACTGCCTGCACCTCAGCATCTTGCCGAGCCCTGCTGGGAACCTCCCTGATCTCACCCTCCTCACCTTGGCTGGTCATGGTGCCCGCTTCTTTGAACCTTGATGCCTGGTGCTGTGCTGGCAGCAGCACCTTCTCCGGATCTGCAGGAAAGGAACCTTTGCTAGTGAGGTGAGATGGTGGAGGCGTCACAGAAGTCACGGGCTGGGCGTCTGAGGCAGTGGCAGAGGGCTGTTTGGTCCCTGAACATCCATCTTCTCTTGCTGGAGATTCGCAGGACCTGGCCTGGGAGCCGCAGACAGCTGGCTGCCTCTGCCCTTCTGGAGAAGGTGCGTGACTGAACGCCTTGGTGGCTGCCTTTGCAGTGTGCACTGCTCCCTGGATTGTTTCTTGGGAAGGAAAATCACAGGGCACTTGATCGTTGCTGCTGCTAAGGGTGCCTCCCACAGGACAAGTTGACTTCTCAGGTTGCTCTCCATCTGAGGTTCCCTGTGATTTCACCAGCATATCTTCAGGTCCTGATGAGGGGCTGGCATTGGGCTGGTCACCTGGGATGGCCTGGTGGGTGTGTTGAGTGGCTGGCATTATAAATGCTGTGTTTATAAGATCCTTTCCTGCTGCAGAATGCGGGCCTGGGGCTGTGGGCTCGCTGCTTCCCGGCAGCAGGGTATTGCCAGGAGAGTTGAGTGTGGGAGATGCCTTCTCCACCTCATTGAAGATGCCAGGAGAAGACATGTCTGGCTGGGTGGTCTCATGCTCACAGGCGTGCATCAGGGCCTTGGTAGCTGCCCTGGGGCTGAGGTCTGGTTCTGCAGGAGCGTCTGAAAGGCCATTGGTGTTCTCGCACAGGAGGGCTGATTGAGGCGGAGGTGAGACAGCTGGCACCTCTTCTTTTCCAGAAGCTGCAATCAGGGAAGTTGTAGCTGATCTTAGAGGGTCAGGTACAGTCCCCATGGAATTTCTTTTCAGGAAACCCTCAGAGCTGTTCCCTGAGTATGCTCCCACTGGGAAGCAGTCGTAGCTCAGCGCGAAGACACAGTCAGAGAGGGGCCCTCTGAAGGGTCAATCTGTGAATCAAGGAAACGCTACCATTAATACAGTACAGCATGTAAGGACTGAAATACAGCAAACTGTCATTTGTATAAGATCTCATAAGCACATTAAATATTTTCTTCCCATATCTGTTGATATAAAAATAGACCTTGGGAAGAACGATTTCGTGAAAAATATTTTAATTACGCAAGTATTATTTTGATATATTAGTTTCTGCTTGCATCCCACTGCTGTCTAGCAAATAGGTTTTTAATGTATTTACCGAAGAGTTTGATAACTACCTCAAAAGTCATTTGTGCGATCTGATTTACCAGATATCAGAAAATCCTGCAAAGCTACTGTAATCAAATCAGTAAGTACTGAAATAGGCCTAAACAGATATGGGAAGTAGAACATCTAGAAATAGATTCACCTATAAATAAGGATTTAATATATGACAAGAGAGGCACTTCAATTTAGTGGCAAAAGGATGGATTACTTAATATAAAATGCTGGCAAACTGTTTATTCATCTGGAAGAAAAGAAAATTAGATCTTTATCTTACACCAGTTCGAAAAATAAAGCCTAGATGGATTAAAGGTTAACATGTTAAATAAATAAATAAATATCCTGTAAAAAACTCTAGGAACCATAATATAATCTAGGGGCAGGGAGGGTGGGCTTCTTTTGGCAAGGCAGAAAATACTGAAACTATAAGAAAAAGTATAAACATAGATGACTAATCAAAATTCAAAACTTTTGCATGGCAAAAGATACCATAAAGAAATACAATGGATTTGGAAAAAAAAAAAAAAGTTTGCCACTCTAGAGGACAGGCAGAAATACCTATAATATAGCAGAAGCTCTTAAAAATTTACAAGGACACAAAATAGTTTATTGGAAAAATGGATAAAGAATATGAAAACGCAGCTTGCCAGATAGGAAGCCCAACAGCCAACAAACTTCAAAAGATGATCAAATGCATTTGTAGTCAAAGAAATGCAAATAATTTAACAATGAGATATTGCTTTATACCAATTGCACTTGAAAAATTGAGAAAAAAAAAAAAAGAGTTATAACTCTTAGGCCAGGGGAGACCTAGCAAAAGGAAGTATTTTTATTAATTATAAGACGAAATGGGTATGGCCACAGCTTTCGTAGGGAAACAGTTTAGTTCCTAAAACTAAAAATACAGATGTCCTTGACCCAGTGATCCCAATTTTATCAAACGAAATAACATGCCGGCATATATATAGGTATAAGTATGTTGACTGAAGTACTATTTGTAAAGGCAAAAAACTGGAAACAAACTGATCTCCATGAATAGGGGAGTGGTAGAATAATCATGACATGCCTCTACTGGAAAGCACTATGCAGCCATTAAAAGAAACAATTAATGAGCCAGTCCTAATGGCCTAGTTGTTAAAGTTCAGTGCACTCCACTTTGGTGGCCCGGGGTTCAGTTCCCAGGCATGGAACCACACCACTCCTCTGTCAGTGGCCATGCTGTCGCAGCAGCTCACACAGAAGAACTAGAGAGACTTACAACTAGAATATACAACTATGTATGGGGGCTTTGGGGAGGAAATAAAAACAAAAACCCCCCAATTAATTAGGCTAGAACTTTTCACTTGGGAGGGATTTCCCCAAGGTATGGTTGAATGAGAAAAGCAAGGTAGAGGAGAGGGTATATGTGTTTCATTTTTGTAAAACAATGACCTAAAACACTCCATAGGTTTGTGTTGTGTGTGGGTGCAGATATGTTTGTATATGATTATATTAAGTCTAAAAATATTTAGAAGGAGACATATTAGGTGTTAAATGGAGGGCGTGTGATGAACTGGGGACAGGGCAAGAGAGATAGAGGTAACCAAAGGTGGGAAAATACTGAATTTTACAAAGTACATCTGAAAATTTATCTGTGTGTGTTTACATATAAACATTTTTTTGGAAGAATAACCAGGCACTGGGTGATGTGGATAGAGCAATGGTTCAGAAACTAGTGGATGACGGTGTTTTAATATTACCTCATTACCCATAGACTCTGACCCCATGCTAAACACTTAATCTTTCTGGACCCCAAATTAACTTGTTGGCAAAATGAATTATTATGATTTCTAAGGACCCTTCCACCCCCCCAAATTCAAGGCTCCTACTTCTTTGCATGTGACGGATAATAAATCAAACAGCACAATCTTAAGTTGGGCTACAAAGGGTCAAAATAAGGTAAAGGCAAATCTGGTCGGGCCCAGATTTTGAAAATATATCATTGTATCTTTTGGTTCAATGTTATTTGGCTGATCTACTATCATATGAAGTCTAACAATAAGTCCAACTTACTGGATAGCTCTTCCTTCTAACTTCATTATGCATGTTAATGGGTTGAATATTTTCCCATCCTTGATCTCAACTGCTTTCTGCTCATTCAAACCACTTCCCCAGGTTCATGTTCATTTCTTCCTCACTGGAGTTCTCTGTGGCACTCACTTGCTGTGCCCCACATCCATCTTTCCATCTCCTTCTTTTGCATCTGTCTTATTGCACCTTTCCTCCCAGTCCTTCCCCTCCTCATTCTCAAAAACGCCCATTCTTCAAGGCCCCACTTAAATCCCATTTCCGTTCTGAAGGCCTCTAATGCCTTCCAGGCGTAAAGTCTCTCTCTCTTTTTAAAGTCCTACAGCTATGGTCATTTGTGTCCTTTGTATTGTGCTTTTTATGCACTGTTTTTGCACCGCTGTTACCTATATAAATGCCTCATTTCCCTGAAAGTCCTTCAAGCCCCAGGACGGAAGGGGACAAGCTGATTGATTTCTTTTAGTTTACTCCGCAGGACACACTGCAGGGTCTTGCGCATGAAAAAGTGTTGATTGATCCCATTTGCCTCCAAAATGGCCATGATTAATGCCCTGCCAAACTTCAAAATAACAGGAAATTTTAAGGTATAGCATGAAATATTAATGAAAACACAATTAAAAAGAGTACTGTTTTTGGAAGTAAGAAAATGGTTGTTCTTATTTATTAAACTTTCTATTTCTGCAATCCAGGTTTAGACAATTAAAAATAAGTACATTGGACACCTGCTACAAAAAACTGGAAGGTCTCCTAAAGCCAGGAGTACAGACTGTCTCCCTTGTCATGCGCCTGGAGCCAAGAAACCTGATCTGCCAAGAGGACTGCACAATACGAACAGCTCAAAGTTCAGCAACTGAAAGTTGAGAGACTTAAAAAATGGTGAGGGATTTCACACAACTCTCAGAAGTCACTGCATTGACTTCCATTTCGCATGGATAGCTGATTGTACAAGTTTGATTTTGAAGGGGGGGTTTTCTTTTGTTTGCTTTGTTAATGGAGGTTAAATTATCCATCAAGTCAAGACTCAAGAAGAAAAGCCCAGATTGCTTGGCTAACACCTGTAATTAGAAATCTCTTCATTGACAGGCAGAGAGGAAATCAACACTACTCTCAAACCTATCTGCTAATGTAACCGTCACAGCATCTCCAAGGCCCTCTCGAGAGATGGCCGGAGGCAAGCCCCCAACCCATGCCTTTTCCCCACCTCTCCCCAACAAATAGCAGAAATCTTTAGTCTCCAATAGGTTAGACACATAGGAGATTTTAAAAGTGTAATTTCTCAGTGGTTTACAGAGTTGTCTTTAAAATCTTCCACAGTCCATTATGACAAGATTTAACCTCTAAAAATGAGGTTGCAAATAGGTGGCCCTCAGACTGAATGAGTCCCTCCTGCAGGTGTGTGTGTGTGTGTGTGTGTGTGTGTGTGTGTATGTGCGTGTCCTGCGTAGTTTGCCCTTCCCTCCTCTCTTTTTCCCTTTCCCCTTTCTCTCTTCCCTCCTTCCCTCTTCCTTTTTCTTCCCTTTCTTTTCTTTCTTTGCCTTTTGAATTAAAGAGACTTTTCATAAAAATCCAGATTTTGCTCTTTTTGGTTCCCTCTAAAAACTCCAAAGGTATGCATTTCCAGATAGCAACACTAGATGGCGCTGATATGGGCTGGTTGCTGAGGGCAAGGACTCTGCAGGCGGCCCCTTCCCCACCTGCCCCGCCTCACTCCGTTACAGTAGTACCCGTGCTCCCGTGAGCAGCTGAGTTTGACAGCTTTGCTCTGAGAGCACTGACAGAGTAGACTTCCCAACTTAAATTTTAGTCTGCTGAGGGCAGTCTGGCATTACCTTTAAGAGCATGGGCCCTCTGGCCAGATTCCCCACATGAGAATCAGTTCCACTTCCTACTGTGTGCTCAGGCAAGTAACTCAACCTCAGGTGTCAGTTTAATGTATACATTGAGGAGAATAATCATAGTACTGCCTCACTGGGCTGTTGTGAAGAATAGATTTAGGCTTTAGGAGAAACAGCATCCTGGCATCTATTAAGCATTTTATAAGTGTTAGCCTCTTTTAAAAAGCTCAATATTTAAGCTTTGATCTGTGTTAAGGAAAAAATTATTCTGACACTTGTTAAAATGGTAAGGAAGACATTGTGATAAGTGTCAAGACTACTGCAGGAGGAGAGAGAGATCGAGCTCAACTCCAAATGCAACAAGAACAAGTGAGGATTTATAACCAAGGAGCAGGCTGGGGGTGGTCAGTGGCTGGAAAATGACCAAGAGGAGACATCAAGGGCAGGGGGATTCTTGCTAAACCTCTTCTCAGGATTCTTGCAGAAGGCAGCTCAGGCAGCCATCACCTGGGGGATGGTGGGACGAGGAATCTGATTGGATATTGAGGATGATCAGCTATCAAGGGTCAGGGATTCTCTCTAAACTGGCTTAGAAGGATTCTTGCTAAAACTGGACTCTGCAAGGACAGCCGTGGAAGACCAAGACTGAGGCATAGTTGAGAAGAGGGCTCAGAGAAGCCTGAGGAAAGTTTGGTCAAGGTGGGAGTCTTTGTCATCTGCACTGGAGAATATGGGTTTTCTTATAAGACTCTCTGTGCCATTCTGAATTCCTTCTGAATCGCTCATGAATCACACCGAGGCTAATGGCATCTCTAAGTGAGTTTGATGGGAACTGGATTCTCGAT